TTCTAAACACATTTTGCACACTTCTAGATAGCCACTCATGGCTGGTGTCCAAACTACTAATACAGCAAACTTTGATCTCTGCAGGACTTGACATCTAAGCACACAGGCTGGCAAAACTACCGGCAGGTAAGCAGGCTATGAGGAACTGTCACTACTATCCATACCAGCAGACTTGTTTAGGCTCCCTGCATTCAGAGTCCCTTGATTCACTAAGAAAGCTGCAGCTAAACCAGGCACAATGCCATTTCGTTTCTGTGGCACAGACTTGTGAAGTTCCCTGGGCCTTGTTTCTTGCATAAGGAGTAAGACAGGTGGCTGTAGAGAAGTTTAAATAATTGCTGCTGGGCATTTAAAGCAATCATTCATGATTGCGGTTTCCCATTTGGTACCAGTGATCATTAAACTCATCTAAGCCTCTCCTCCCCTTCCCTCAAACATATTCTGCCTGTCACACCGACACAGCTGTTTGTGTGTCTGTACAGTGGATTGAATCAGGAACTGATCCGGCTAAAAATAACCGAGGGTGGAGTGGGGAACTATTACTCTTCAGTCACTGAGACTTTCCAATCTGCGTCATGATGCAGCTGCACACAGAGTGCACCAGCACAGTGAGCAGAGCATGGGAGTAAATGGCCATGAGGACACACAGAGGAGGGGATGAGGATCACTCGTTTTGCTTTTGAAAGAAATGCAGGTGGAACCACAGCTTCAGTGGGCTGAGTACTCAAAGGTACTTAGCAAGAGATGAGCACCGATTCCAGCTGTGTAATGTACACGTGGGAAGTAAAAGATTCATAAGCTGGTCCTCCTTCGGAAATACTTCTTATGTGCAAAAAAAAAAAGGTACAGTTCTGTTCAATGCTTTTGTTTTGCTTTCACTTAACTCGCTCCTGTTCCCCCAGGGCTGTTGTTTCACGACTGGATTGCATGGTGGCAATACCAACTTAAGGAACCGCTGAGCTCTTTGAATATTTGTTACCACCCGCCCCAGACTGCAATTTTCCCTCATTTGTGCCAACCCTGCTGTTTGTGGAGCTGTGCTGAGCGCTGGATCGGGGAAGCAATCCAAGTTAAAAATAACCCAGCGGGTGGCTGGGGATGGCAAGAGCTTCAGCCATCCAATGTAATAATATGCTGTCACAAGTCAGGGAGAGCTGTTTGCCATTGCAGGGTCATGAAAGCCCGGCCTCAGAGATACCTATTTACTACGAGAAATATGAACTTTTCAGCCAGCTGAAGGAGCGTTGTGAATGAGGCGGCTGGAATCCTTTGCCCATGTTCATAAGGGACAAGGGAGCAAACCTCACTGTGCACCAATGCCAGCACAAAACGTCTTCCCACAAGCTTTACTTTAGCAGCCCTTCACATGACGGTTTTGCAACAAAAGCTAATGGCAGTCTACGCTATTCAGCTGATGTGTGTTGTTTATTCTGTGGGTTAGGGAGAAAGTTACCATGATTTTTAAGTGCTGGAAGGGTACTGCAGATATGGGGGCTGTGCTGGCACCAAGCAAGAGAATAGAAGAGTATTCTTTACAGACATGAATCTAATAGCTTTGTGTTACAGAGCAAAGTACTAGTTTGTGGATATATTCTAGAAGAACACCTCTTCTTCTCAGCTCTAGAAAAACAATACCATTGCTGTGATGCACCACCACTAACCTACGTGATCACAGCAGCAGTGACATGATTTTCACCTACTCATAGGCTTGGAGGGTAACATTTGTAATTATTCATTCTCTCTTGTATTCCAAGACATATCTGGGTTTCTTCTGGCTTCTCTCTTCAGTTCATGGTTCATGCTTCCTGGGTTGAGTATTTTTAAATACCAGTCATTTCCTTTTTCTCCCCCTCCTGCTTGTGACTTGGCATTTCACTGCTTCCCTCCCCAGGAATGCCCCTGCTGGGAGCTGGCTGGCTTGAGCCCCGATGGCAATGAAGGTGAAGCATCAAGAGCTTCAGAGCCTGAGGAATTTCAGGATCTTCTCAGGTTACATTTCTTGAGAAAGCAATTCACCCTTTCTTCATATGCATTAATGGCTCTATACACATTGAGGTGGAAGGTGCAGTTGAAACCCACAGTTACATTAGCATTAGCAGCTACATTGCATATTAGCCAAATGAAAGCAAGCGCCTGAGGCTTAGGGCAGGATGTGGCTGCCCTAAGGCAAACCCTAAATGCTTTCACACCAACCTCTGCGCTCAGGCCTGAGACATAACGTCACTGTCGACCATGCCAGGTAACTCCTTAGATTTCAAGGGTCCAGAAGTACCATCATATTTTGCCAACTTCTTTTGCCTTTCTAAGAATGTGAGGACTTGTGTTCAGTGATTTTAATTCTTCTCTCTCTAGACACAAGGAAAAATGTTTTGTTCCACCTCCCTGTCCTCTGCATTCCCATTGCCGCTTCCCTTCTTGTGATAATTGTTAAAAGATCTCTCTTTTTTTTTTTTTTTAATAAAGCAGCTTGTGGTTCCTGTTTGACCCTAGGTTCAAAAAGGTTTATCATATGTCCAATGAATTGGGAAGATATCTGCAATCTCTCTAATGCATATTACATGTAAACTCTGTTTTTCCTGTTTTGTTTGGTATTTCTGCCTGCCTGAAGGCATAGAGAGAATTCAAAGGTCAGCTGTGAAAGAAATCAGGCAAGAAGAGAGAGCAGTTGCCCTGCAAAGAGGCATCTTCTTAAGCACAACAGGCAGGTGCAGAGCTGTGGGAAGCAACTTCTCAGTCCCTATCCTAGAAAAGAAGATCTTCTGGTAAGGCTGGGAAAAGGCAGATCAAATGTCATAGGTCTGTCAAAACTCTGCCTTCTGTAAAGGCAGATGCATGTTCTATGTGCTTTGGGGTGATCTGGGGTAAGCAAGCAGAGACTGCCCTTTCGTGAGGGAAAACATTGACGGAGTAGGGACTGACGCAGAAAAGCCTCCTCTGTGGTTCTGTGCTTAAAGATGGGAAAGCACACCCACCTGAACCATAGCTAGGTAGAGTTCAGCAGTATTTTGGTGAAGGTCAGCTTGAAGTAGAGACATAGCAGGCAATGGCCCAAAGCAACAACATATGACCAGCAGCAGGAGAATTGCAAAGAGCTCCGGAAAGCAAGAAAAAAGAAGTCCAGATATGAGGGAGCAGTTACTTGGGGGATCTGGATAACAGTGACCCTTCTCCCATGTAGCTGTTACACCTCGAAACCACCCCCTCTTCCCAGCAGCCTCAGGAAATCCAATTTCCCAGTCTTTCTTCCCAGCTATTCATCCCATTTCAACCTCTTCTGCTTACCCTTTCCCTCACATGGTGGCCTGGTTCAACCATTCACCTTTGAGATGGCAAAATGCCTTGTGATGCCTTTACTTTGGCTGTGTTGTCCTTTTTAATAATGCCATGCCATTACCCCTACCCTTACCCATGCTCAGGGCAGGGAGATAGGCTTGCGCAAGCCAGCTGTGCTTGCACTATGGCCAGAAAAACTTTTCCGAGGAAGCTTTGTCAGGGGTCAGACCAGCTGCATTTCCAAGCAGAAAAACCTTACTTGGTCTGGCCTCCTGAGACCTGTTGCGAATTCTGCAAGTAGCTTTGCTTTTTCAGATGAAGGTTACTTCGGTCAATTCCTTGAGGCTGTGCAGCCAAGGTTTGCTGTGGCATGGTGGAGTTATTTTGAACTGCCTGTCCATATGGCTGTTCAGACAAGTGTTTTCTAAGCAACACCATCCTTTCCATCCAATAGAGCCGTTCTTTGCACAATGAGTGCCAAAGGGAAGCAAACAAAGGAGTTTGCACATCTTTGCACACTCTGCATCCATGAGGATGTTTGGACCTGGTATGGCCTGCTTTAATTGATGGGTGCTTTCACTTACCCTTGAAGGGTTACTGGGCTCTGACCATGCTGTCCCACCCACCCCAGTGTGTCCTCCAGGCACAGAGTCAGCTCTCTGCAGCTACAGATAACTCCACAGAAAGTCTCAGAAAGAAAGACAAAAATTCTGCTTCCCCTAAGAAGTCTGGCCCCTATGCTCTCTGGTTCCTAGGTTCTCGCATCTGTTCACGTGAACGAGTGTACCAAAAACGCCAGGCCTGTGAGAGGAAAACCAAGCATTTGTCGAAGTCCATCAGGACTGCAAAAGCAATTTTACCAGGTGGATTCATGCATTTTCTACGAAGAAAGCCAGCAAGCACTTGAATGAGAACAGGGAAGGGACAGTTGAGAGGTGGATCAGCTGACTTACAAGACATATCAGGTCTGGCACGGAAAGGCTAAAGGCCCTTCAGAGTTTAGGACACAAGAGCAAAAGCGGCAAAGCAGCCTACCCCAGCAATGCCTCTTTCGGCCTCTGTTTGCTCCATCTCCTTGAAATATCCTGTATTTTCCTTTTTTCAGAGATGGGGGCTCCTGTTGTTGTGTCTCTGGCTATTCAGACCAGTGTTGTTGGGGTAAAGGGGAAACCGGGCCACAAAGAACAGTTTGCTGTGCATGCAAGGGCAGTTTCGTTTGTTTGATGTATCTCGAAAATTGCTTTAGCGATTACACATAAAATACTTTTGAAAATTTATTAAACACGTAAAACGCACCTCTTGTCCAAGATCAAAAGAAATCTGTTTTCCCGGTCATAAACAGCGAAGCAGAGAGGAATGTAAAAGAAGTTGTATTTCAGTCATCACTATACTTTTGTCAGCAATGGACTGGAAAACTAGATCCCATGCAACCCAGGTGACAGAACTGGGAAGATAATTGCCTCAGAGCAGCTGAAGCTCTGCTAGAACCAGGTTCATCTACCAGCAGGATGGTGTGTCACTGCAGAATAAGGTTCTGCCACTTTCTCTCGTAAAGGAACAGTGAGCACTGTGTGCCATCCTCTGGCTTTTCAGGTTCATGCAGAAATGTTAGATGAAAATGAAGACCAATTCTAAGAATACCCCTCACCTCCGGGTTCTTATTTGCATTGCACAGCAGCTGTGCTAAGTAATAGTCATCCCTCTGTGAAGGATGACACATGTATTTCCAAATCTGGTCCTGCCAGGGGCCAAGAAACTGTGATGCTCAGGAGGACACTCTGGGGAGAAAGAAAGAAAAAAAAAAATGGAATAACACAGAACTCTAGGGTGAAAAATTTTATTTCAGAGACGTCATTCATCCATTTGTCTATCTTAGGTATTTCTAAAGTGCCATAGTATCACTGTAGTATCTAAGCACCATTAGCACAACAGGAATTTACAGCATTCTACAGAGCTCTCTCAGCTGGCAGGAGGATCTGGGCACCAGTTGGTGACCATGGGTCTGGGATGGAGTGTGCTAGGGAGGGTCTGCTGAAATTATAGTAGCTAATTACCTTCTGCTTTTTTCCAGTAGTCTCCCACTATGATCCTGAGGGAGGAGACAGCTGGTAGAGACGCCAGTGAGCTAGCTGCTGTGAAAGTAAACCTTCTGGTTCTTGACTTTTTGCACATGCCCATACCTCAGTCTTCTGAATTTGGTTCGCCAGTTTGTGCTGCCCACAAAGCAATTAAATTCCTGGAAGAAGAGGAACATACCCTGTAACTTCTGCAACAGCAAAGGAAGGGTGGTGCCCAGATTCTCCTCTCCAGCTAGATGATCACAAATCGTAAAAGGCAGACAGGCTAGGGGAAGGGAATTATTTCAGCCAAGTGACACTGAACAGGGAAAACTAACTGGCTGTTGAAAGGAACTCCAGAAATGTGTTTACACTGGTGAGCAATCCAGTCCTAGCCGCTGACTACTGCACTGGCAATGTGCTGTGAACCCTAAGGCCACTTTGATTTGGCATACAGTATTAAATAAGTTCATAAAGATCTTTGAAATAAATGCACGACAATCCTCTTAATTTACAGAGCGCTGTTAAGTACACACAGCACTTTACAAAGCATGTAGAAAAGAAAATAAATGCTCTGAGGACTGCTGTGAAGGCATATTCAGGGGCAGCTGGCGTCTCAAACCAGAATCTTGATGTGAGAATTTCCCTTTGAGTTGAGCTCAGCCATGTACAGACCTGGGTTCAATTTTATCGAGCCACTACAGCGAGTCCGTTCAGATTGCCAAAAGAAAAGTTGCATTCACAAGATGGCTGAGAAGCCCTGTTTACCAGGGAAAGGCAAACAGTTTTAGTGCTGTAGATTTCCTTTAGGAAACTTAAACTGGAATGGGACAGACCCACACAAATTGATCAGTTCTACAGCTGGACTGCAGCATAACCTTTGAAGTCAGCTAAAAATGAGCCTACCGACTGAGAGCTGTAGTATCCCTTCTGAAAGTCTGCTAGCAAATGAAAATCTTGACGCTTCTGGAACCAATTAGATGACCATTAGTGACATTTCCAAACCACTTTCCAGAAGTGGAACAGAAATCAAGAAATCATTGGTTTGAAGCTGTTCATAAAAAAACCCAAAACAAACACAAAGCTAAAAGCAAAAATGTGCATTTGCAGATGAAGGCTTTGGTTCCTGTGTAAACAAAGCCCACCCCATTTCCGAAAGCTCCTTCTACTTCCCTGAGCAGCTGCACATAAAGGTGCCTTGTTCCTCTAGGAGCTGCAAACAATTTCATGCTCCCCCTACAGCTCCTTTTTATTAAACTATATGAAAATAACATTTTATCAGCAGTTGAGTGTCAAGAAGTGGCTTGGGGCTTGCAGAAGGATCCCTGCAATCCCTTGGAGAGTAGCAAGTTCTGTAGAGCAAGCCCTTCACAAGCAACCCCGGCCAGCAGCTGCTCAAATCCATCGATCTTCTTAGCATCTTTATTTCCTTCATCTCTTCCCTACCATAGCTCCAGTCCTTTTACCAGCTTCAGTCTGCATTCCTTTTTCCAGAGACCTGCTGAAGCCATGGAGCCAGCTGCAGGATTAGTAAGGTACATCGCAAAACCAGGAATCTTTTCTAAGTTCCAGCAGTGCTGGATAAGCACACCAGTCAGTATCGTCTCTAAAATGAGCAGCAGCAAAACAGTCAAAAATATAAACAATGTAAAGTGTTGCACTGCAATTTGTTGTAGTTAAAACCATGAGGCGGGTACATCCTACAACTGCCACCGATACGTACCTGTGTAAAACGAGGGGGAGAGTACTACGCTGAGTGACATTTAGAAGTCATTCCTTGCAACCATAGGGCCCACAAAATTTTTATAGATATATAAATAAAACAACTCAATTCCAGATCTTATACACACACACACATACACAAAATAATCAGTGTAAAACTGAATGTCCTGATATGAAAATTCAGATGTTTTAGTACAAAACCTATTTCTCCCAGCTTCTAATTGAGAAATGCTACTATATACAGTATGTTTAGCATTTTGAGAAGTACTGATATGGTGCAGTGTCATACAGCTGCCCATTTTGACTCCTGCCATGGTGTGCGCACACGATTGCTCACATCTTAGTGTGAAGATACACTTAGTATAAAAGCTAGTTCATACATATGTGAATACACACATATAGGTGTTATTTACACACCTGCGCACACACACACTGGTCAAAATGGGACTTGAGAAATACTGGTATGGAATCGGATCAGTCTTAGTACACTGTTGTTCTGTCCTATTTTGCAACACAGCTCACACCAGCCCACTTGAACTGTATCTGTGAATCTGAATTCTGCAGAGCGAGGAGGCTACCAGTACAAACTCACAGGCAACCTCCATACACCTGTCAAATTGCGTACCACAGTCTTAGCAGCAGCAAGTATAATTCTGATTCTGATTTATTTTTTTTATTTTAAGCCTCCAGGTATGATAGTTTTCTACATCGGTTACCCACCAGTTCTGAGATTCCAGAACAGGCTGTGCCCCTATCCTGCAGCTCCCTTGTTCCTACCATCCACACAGCATTTGCAGAAAACCTTTGCAGGCATGCCTTCCCTCTCTGGTTCAGGGTATGCCTACACATTCCTTTTACAAGCAGACTCAAGCGGTCTTTGCCTGTGCTTCAAGTTGGCCCGCACACTGTGGCGGCATAATGCGGAGCCTCCAGCTTCTCAGCAGGACTTACTTAGCTTTGACCTTCCTGACCGCTGTATGAGACACAAAGCTGGCTTAGACCACAAGCATGGTGAGCTTCCATAGACTGTGCAATATTATATCGGTCACAACATTTCAGCTGCAGGTGGAACACAGGCCCTTAAGGACCTCATCTCCCATCTTATTTCCCCTGACGTGACCACATGTGCATATGTTGCATGACCAAGCAGCCTCTCATCAGGTGACCTGACCTTGTGCGTTCTCTCATCAGGCTCCCCGGCAGACATCTCTCACGGGGAGGTGGGAGAAAACATCCGCACCTTGGCCACACGGCAGATGGCATCCGATTCTAGTACCTGGGAAAGAGGATGCCAGGGCTGCAGAACTACCCACCGCAACCACTGCTCGCTTTCTGTCCATGCCCGAGATGTGTCAGGCGGAGGAGGTGACTGAAAAGGGCAACGTGGGCCACAGGAATTACTCTGGCCAGCTGCCTATAACCCAGGGGCTCTGGTGTAGTCACACCCTTGTCCACCCCCTTGTCCCTTAGGCACATTTTGGACAGGCCGGGGTCAGAAGCTGCATCCTAGACCACCCCCAGGTCACACCTAGCGACGCTGCCTACCACACATGCACCCGCTGGTGTGAGACTAAGTAGGAGTTGCGACTGAAGCTCTTCCCACAATGTGAGCACTTGAAAGGTTTCTCCCCAGTGTGGGTACGACGATGACGGATGAGGGTAGAGTTGTCACTGAAGCAGGTCCCGCAGTCGGCACACTTGTAGGGCTTCTCCCCAGTGTGAGTGCGACGGTGCTGGACAAGGTGCGAGCGCTGGCTGAAACTCTTCCCGCAGTCAGGGCACAAGTATGGCTTCTCGCCCGTGTGGACGCGCCGGTGGATGACCAGCTTAGAGCTCTCACTGAAGCACTTGTTGCAGTCAGCACACTTGTAGGGCTTCTCGCCCGTGTGGAGCCGCTGGTGGGCAATGAGGTTGGAGCTGTCGCTGAAGCGCTTCCCGCACTGGGGGCACTTGTAGGGTTTCTCGCCCGTGTGAAAGTTGGCGTGGCGGAGCAGGCCCGAGTTCTGGTAGAAGTTCCTGCCACACTTGGCACAGACATAAGGCCTCTCGCCAGTGTGGTTGCGCTGGTGCTGCACCAGGTGGGTGCTCTGGCTGAAGCTCTTCCCGCAGTCCTTGCATTGGTACGGCCGCTCACCCGTGTGGACGCGCTGGTGCTGGATGAGGTGGGAGCGGCGGCTGAAGCTCTTGCCGCAGTCAGCGCACATGTACGGCTTCTCCCCGGTGTGGATCCTCTGGTGGCGGATCAGGTCGGAGCTGCGGTTGAAGCTCTGCCCGCACTCGATGCAGATGTAGGGCTTCTCTCCCATGAACGCTCGCTGGTGCACCACCGTCTCCTTACGCTTTCGGAAGCCGCAGCGAGAGGTCTTCTCCGGCCCTGTCCCTGGAGGGAGAAGGTCTGGCCTCGGACGGGACAATTCCTGGTCGCAGCCCGGAGAAGAAGCTTCCCTCATGAAAAAGTCTGAAATGGCCCCGCGGGGTTCGGCCGCCTCCGGCCCATCTGGCTGGAGATCCCCCTCATTTTCAGTCATGCTCCCATCACCTGCCGGCACAGAAGGAGAGCCGGGACACGACCAACACGTTTAGTCACGGCCCGCGGCCCCTCGTCCCCACCCCGCTTGGCCACCACAGCCGCCCCACACGGCCC